CAGGTCTGCGGCGCGGGCGGCTGTCCCTGAGGAGGTTGTGTCCCACGGGCCATGGCTGCCCCGGAGGGCGGTCTCCGCTCACCTGGGCGCCCCCAGGGCGAGCAGCGGCTCCGTGCGGCCGCGGCGGGGGCCAAGGGCGGCGGGGCCGAGGCGCCAGAGCGCCCCGCGGGCGGCGGCCCTGGACAGCGCCATCTTGGCGGGCACGGGCGGCGGTCACGTGGCGCTGCGGCCGCTGATTGGCTGAAGGGGCTCCGGGGGCGGGCCTGGACCGATCACCCTCCCCCCCACTTCCGGTACCGGCCCCGGGACCCCCGGCCCGGAGCCCGGACCGATCCCCCAGCCCCGGTATCGGCCCCGGGACCCCCGGACCGATCCCCCAGCCCCGGTATCGGCCCCGGGACCCCTGGCCTGGATCGGGACCCCTGGCCTGGATCGGCCCCCCCTTCCCTCCGCCAGCGGGACCCCCAGCCTGGAGCCTGGACCGGGACCCTCCTCCCGCCTCACCGGGGGTTAAATCCCTTCCCGGCCTTTGAGGGGCCCGTGGCCTCCCCCGCCCCCCCCCCCATTCTTCCCCCGCTGTGCGGGTCCGGGGGAGGCCAAATCCCCCAGCAAAGGGACCGGGACCCCCCGGCAAAGCTCCCCGGGAATTCCCATAATCCAAGTTCTGCTTTGCCTCTTCTCAGACCTCTTTCAGCCCCTCCGTGTCCCGGGGATCCTTGGAGATTTCTGGGATGCTCTTCCCTCCCTCCAGCCGGCCCCCCCTGTGCCCCCCCCCGGGCGCGTGGCTCCCGTCACGCACCCCCCGTGCTGTCCCCACCCTGTGCCCTCCCCTGGGCCCGGGCACTGCTCACTCAGCTCTTGTTTATCTGGGGAGGGGGTTATCGCTGCCCCCGGGAGGGCCGATAAGGGCGGATCGATCCCGCGGGACGATCCTCCCCGCACGTACCGGAGGGACCCGCGGTGCCCGCGTGGGCCCCGATCAGAGTCCGGGCCCTCGTGGATCAGCGGAGCCGCCGGAGGCTCCTCAGCCCCGGCCACGGGGACACTTCAAAGCGGGTTAATGGGGAGTCAATTAATGATCAGGAGATGCCGGAGATTTCGGGAGCCTTTGAGGAGCCTTTGAGGCGCCTCGGAGCTCCCTCGGGAACTCTGCTCCGGGTGGAGGCGAGGGAGGGAAGGAGGGGACACCCCTTAAATAGGGAGGGGACACCCCCCAGGGGAGAGTGGGACACCCTCGGGCCTCGAAGAGCGCGGCAGGAGCACCATCATGCCCACCAAACCCACCCCCGGCTGCGAGCTGGGTGAGTACCGACCCCCCCCGGGGGCTGGCACTGCCCCCAGCCTAAAACACCCGGGATTTGGGGGATTCAGACAGTTTCCCATGCCCAGGCTGCCTGTGGGGTCGGTCACACCTGGGTTCAGGTGGGCAGTGATGGGTTATTCCCATCTCTGATGCTTGTGCTGTCGGGTCAGGGCTGAGGGTGAATCAGGGAGTTTCCCATCTCCTGGATTTCTCATTTTCCCAGGATTTGGTCACTTAGCAATACCCTTAGCAATGCCCAGCCGGCAGGAGCCGTGTCCCATTCCCAGTTAAATCCATGGGGTTGTTCCTTGGGAAGGGAGCGGTTGAAAAAAAATTATTCCAAGTTTCCAAGAGAATGCACAGAGGAGGGAGAACTCTGGAGGGAGCAGCGTTTCCCTCTGGAAAAACAAGCAGCAAATGAAAGAAAAGCCCAGTCAGGCCGTTTCCCCCCCCAAACACGGGGTTTTCTGGGAGAGAAGGGAGCAATCCCATCTGGGAGAGATGGGAGCAGTCGGGGGGGGGGAACCAGCACCAAAAGTCTGGGAACTGGGAGAGAAAAACAGGGATTTTGGTACCAAAAGCGCTGCTGGGTGGGGAAGGGGAGTCCCAGGGGGGCTCTTGGGCTCCAAAGGGATCCACGATTTGGGGTGGAATGAGCGGCTGTTGGGAAAAGCTCGGAGTGGGAGCAGGGGGATGCTGCAGCTGCTGTGCCCCTCATCACCACCGCGGGGGCCTGGGACCCTCCTGGGGCCTCACTGGGGCTCAACCCTCCCCCACTGGGTTCAACCCAGAGCTGGAGTTCTGCCCCCGACCCCCATACTGGGGACTGCAGTGGGGTTCTGGGACCCTCCTGGGGGCTCACTGGGGCTCAACCATCCTCCAGTGGGTTCAACCCAGAGCTGTGGCTCTGCCCCCGACCCCAGAACCACGGGGGTGTCAAGGCCCTCCCGTCCCCCCATACTGGGACTGCACCCCCCGCACGGGGGCCCAGCCCAGGTGCCGCCCCCGGTACCATCCCCAATGCCCCCCCGGTACCTCCCCCGGTCCCTCCCGCTCACGCCCCCGTTGTTCCCCCCGCCATCCCCGGTCCCTCCCCCGGTCCCGCCCCGTGACGCGCTCCCCGCGCCGGGTCCGCGGCTCCGGCCGGGCCGGGGATGAGGCGGCGGCGGGTCCGGGGGCGGCCGGGGCCGGTGAGCGATGAGGGGAACGCGGGGAACCCCCCGAGGGTGGTCCCACCCCCCCCCCATCCCGGGGATGGTTCCCCTTGGAGCGGGGGGATCCTGCCTCGGGGGCGGGTCCCGGGTGTTCTGGGGAGGGGAGTCCTGCCCCGGGGGGGTTCTGCTGGATGTGCTGCGGGACCTCGGGGTGGGTTTACAAGGGGGGCCATGGACCCGTTGTGCCCCCCCCCACACACACCCCCCGGTACTCAGGGCCTCTCGCGGCCCCCCGGGCGCTGCCCCCCCCATCGCGGGGCTGGGGGACCCCCGGTGACCTTGGGGTGTCCCGGGGGTCCCTGCGGGTGGGCACCGCGGGGGCGGCGGCACCGACTCTCGTCCTCTGGGCTCCTCCTTGGGCTCTGGGGGGCTCCGGGCCCCCCCCAGGCTCTTCCCTCACTCTTCCGAGGTGCTGGGGGTGCAGCGACCCTATAGCGGGGCTGGGCTGCGATGGGAGCACGGGCACGGAGCCCCGGGAGCACCGGGATCACAGGCAGGACACCCTGGGATCTCTCGAATGCCCGGGGTCACAGCCATGGAACCCTGGGATTACCCATGGAGCCCTGGGACCTCTGGGATCACAGTCATAGAGCCCCGGGGTCACAGCCATGGAACCCTGGGATCTCTGAGATCCCCGGGATCGCAGTCAGGGAGCCCCATGGAGCTCGTCCTGCCCGGGCTGAGGTTCCCGGACACGTGTCCTCGTCCCTGCAGATCCCCCATCCGGTGTCCCCGGGCCCAGCTCCGGAGCCTCCCGGCGTGTCCCGGTGCGGACGGTGAGTCCGGCTGGTGCCGGAGGCTCCCGGGGCATTTCAGGGAATGTCGCTGTGTTCGGGCAGGGCTCTGCTCTCCCCGCTCCTGGAGCAGTTCAGGGAATGTCGCTGTGTCCGGGCAGGGCTCTGCTCTCCCCGCTCCCGGAGCGGTGCAGGGAATGTCGCTGTGTCCGGGCAGGGCTCTGCTTTCCCTGCTCCCGGGGCAGTTCAGGGAACGTGGGAGCAGTTCAGGGAATGTCGCTGTGTCCGGGCTCTGCCCTCCCGGCCAAGGTGCGCTCGGAAGGGGGGTCCGGCCCCCCCCGCGCTGGGAGGAGGCTCGGCCACGGGCAGGGGAGCCCTCGGACGAGCTCCCGAGGTGTGGGAGAGCGGGACAGAGCAGCCGGTGGTGGAATAACGGCCCCGTGTTGTTGTGGGTTGGACGCGGGTGGTTTGTTCCAGGTGGCGAAAGTTCTCGCGGTCTCAGGTGTGCGTCAGCCCGTCCCACGCTCGGCTCCCAAATCCAGGAGCTGGGGCAGGCTGGGCAGAGAGCTGCTCCTGAGCGGGCTGGGAGGAAGCTGCTCCTCCCTGCCAGGGAGTTGTTTCCGTGTGTTTCCGTAGAAAGAACCAGGTCATGCTCCAGATTTCCTGGAGAGGACACCTGTGTGAGCAGGTGAGCAGGGCTGGGCTCAGCCCCTGTGCCCTCCTGCACCCGGGCATATCCCGGCTCTGGAATGTGGGACGGGGTGAGGGATGGGCAGGGAACAAGCTGGTCTGACCTGTTCAGACGTGGGCAGGTGACCTGTCCTCGTGCAGCGGGAGCAGAGGTCGCTGCTGGCTTTGTCCTCTCAGGTCGTGGGCAGGAGTGGGGCAGAGGGAGGGGGGAGGAATCCCACGGGGATGGACCCCCCCAGGTCCGTGCGAAGGAAAAGGTTTTCCAGGTCCCAGCCCTGGTGGTGCCAGTGCCAGGGGACACCTGGAAGGTGGTCAAGGGGGTGGAATGGGGGACTCAAGGCTGGAAAAGCTCTCTGAGATCATCCCGTCCAACCATTCCCCCAGCACCAGTCACCACCCAGTTCACCAGTTACCTTTGCTGGGACAGTGGGCTTGTCTGTGCCAGTTTGGGGTGCCGTGCCTGGGGCTCCCAGTGGGATATCACCTGGAAGGGCTGGACTAAGGGGTCAGGGTGAGCAGGTGAAGGGCTCCTGGTGTCACCACCAGCCCACGGGGTGTCTGTGTGTGGAGCAAAACGAGACGTTGGCCCCAAAACTGCTCCAGAAGGATCAGTGAGGATCCTGCCTGCCCTGCAGGGACCTGCCCGGCTCAAAGCCCCACATCAAAGGCACCATCTCAATGGCAGGAACTGCTGCTGTGTCCTGAGGGGAGGAGCAGAAGCAGGATGAGCCCGTGGCTGTTGGAAGGACCCGTTGGACAGGGGGTTTGAAGGGGGGGGGTGGAACAAGGGCCCCGTTGTTCCTTGTTTGTTGTTTGCTCTGTGGGTGGAGGAGGCTGCACAGCAGCACCGTGGCGACGGATTGTGGAGGGACCTTGTGATGTTCCTCTCAGGGCTTGTGGTATTCCAGGGAATATTCCCCTGGGAATGCCTGGGACTGTCGGGTGTAACAGCAGTGGGGTCACAGTGGGGGTTTGAGCACCAGGAGGCAGAGCCTGGTGAGCCCACGCCTGTGGGAAAGGACAGGGCTGTGCCCAGGTGGGCAGGGAGGCCACGGGCACCTGGCTCGTGGCAGCCACAACGTGGCCACTGGGACCTGGGCAGTGCCCCTCCCCCCGTGCTGGGCACTGTTGGGGCCAAACCCCAAATCCTGGAATCAGTTCTGGGTCCCCAGTGCAGGACATTGAGGGGCTGGAGCTGGGAACGGAGCTGGGGAAGGGACTGGAGCACCGGGAGTGGCTGAGGGGACTGGGGGGGCTCAGCCTGGAGAAGAGGAGGCTCAGGGGGGACTTTCTCCCTCTGCACACCTGGCAGGAGGGGCACCCAGGGGGGGTCACCGGTGTCACCCTCCCACAGGAGGCTCTGTGGGCACCTGTGGGACACGTTGCCTGTGCCGGGGGTGGATCCATCTCCCAGCAGCTGCTGGAGCAGATAAGGGGCCCCCTCCCACCCCTGCCCGGGCTGGGCTGCTGTGGGGGCAGATACTGAGGTGGGTCCGTAACGAACGTTCCCTCAGGATTGTTCTCCTCGCCCCTCATGGAGTGAGGCTCCGCTGGGACTCCCTGCCAGGGTGAGGCTGCTCCTCCTGGATCACAGTTTGGGGAAAAGGTGGCTTATTGCTGAGCTTTAGGGGGTTGTTTTAGTGGAAGCTGTGGGGTTTGGGGCTTCACAAAGAAGGGAAGTGGTGGGGTTGGAGCTGAGAGGTGGTCCTGGTTCAGGGGGAACTGCTGGGACGAGGGTCCGGGGCTGTGGCTGGGAGGTGGCAGGAGGTTATGGAATATCCCAGTTGGAAGGGACCTACAGGGATCAAATCCAGCTCCTGGAGGTGTTTCCTCTCATCTCTCCCCACGGTGTGTGGCACTTTGGGGTCATCGGAGCCCGGAAGGGGCAGGGGGTGTCCAGGGGGATTTTTGGGGTGTCCTGTGCAGGGCCTCGGTGATCTTTTGGGGAACATCCCAATATTCCAGGACTCCACGTGCTTGTGCAAACACTCCAGGTTAAAGTGGGGGAATAAGACAACTGCCCCCTGTGCCTCGGTGGGAGGGGGGATTTTGGGGGTCCAGAGGGGTCAGACCCCACGTTCCCCTGGAGTCATCGCTCCAAACCTGGGGTGGGTCTGGGTGGAAACACAACAATTGTGGCCCCAGCAGTGTCTCCCCACCTCTCAGGTGACTTTGGGATCTTTGGGGGGATTTCAGTCCCTCTCAGGTGTTTTAGCCCCTCTCAGGTGATTTCAGCACCTGGCTCAGTCACAACCCACCTCTGGGGCTGGTTGTGAAACTGGGAATTCATCTTTAAAACCCTAAAATTGGTTCAAATCACTTAAACCGAATCCCTGGCTAATGATTTTCTTTTACATCCTCACTGAAGCAGTATTCCTTTGTTTTATGGAAATCTCCCATTCAAATCCAACAGGATTTGAGGAGGGATTAAGTGCTTTACAGACCAAACTGAAGGATTTTGGCTCGTCCTTGAGGGCTTGAGGGGGTTGAACCTCCAGAGCCTGGAGGGTGCCAGCTCATCCCCAGCTCCCTCCTGCTCCATCCCCATCCTAGTTTCTGATTCCCTCTTGCTCCATTCCCAGTCCCATCCCAGTTTCTGGTTCCCTCCTGCTCCAGTCCCAGCCCCAGCCCAGATTCTGGCTCAGTCCTGCGTGGGTTGGATTTAAACCCAGGTCATGATGAAGGAGTTAAACCTGCCCTTAACCCAGTTCCCAATGCCTGGGAGAGCTGGGGGAACGCTGGGAGGGTTTGAGGGGTGGTGGTGGTGTTCTGGGAGGGTTTGGAGGGTGCTGTGAGTGCCAGGGGGGCCATAAGCACCAGGAAGGGGGGGATGGGATGTGGTTTCCACAGTGAGGAAATTCCACCCTTGTTTCCTGGACTGGAGTTTCACAACCAGCTCCAGCTGCCTGTGGACACTCCTGCCACGTTGGTGCCCGTCAGTCCTTTTTGGGGGGAGGATGAGGGACTTTCCCAGCAGGTCCCAGCCCAAATTACCCCTCCCATCCCTGCCAGGACCCTCAGAGCTGGAAAAGGGCCCGGGAAGTGAGTCCATCCCTGCCAGGTTTCTCAGAGCTGGAAAAGAACCTGGGAAGTGGATCTGTCCCTGCCAGAGCTGTTGGCCGTCCCCACTCTCCTGCCAGCTCAGATTCTCCTTCCTGACAGGATTTTTCCCTTCTCCTTTGCAGCCAATGTGTCCAGAATAAAGCAGCCCCCGGAGCACGGGAAAGGCTCCACCATGGGGAGCTCGGACATGGAGCGGAAGGCGTCCTACGGTGAGGCTGGAGGGGGCACGGGGCGGGGGCTGCCCTCCTCATCCTCCTGCCTTTCCTTCGTTTCAGGCTCGTCTGGGGCTGCTGGGATGAGTCCTGGGCTGCTGGGATGAGCCCTGGGATACCAGCATGAGTCCCAAGGTGCCGGGTTGAGCCCCAGGGTGCCAGGATGAGCTCTGGGCTCCAGGATGAGCCCCAAGGTGCTGGGTTGAGCCCCAGGGTGCCAGGATGAGTCCCGGGTGCCAGGATGAGCTCTGGGCTCCAGGATGGGCTCCAGGATGAGCCCCAGGGTGCCAGGATGAGTCTCGGGATGCCAGGATGAGCTCTGGGATGAGTCCCGGGGTGCCAGGATGAGTCTTGGGGTGCCAGGATGAGCTCTGGGAGGAGTCTTGGGGTGGCAGGATGAACTCTGGGATGAGTCCTGGGGTGCCAGGATGAGCTCTGGGATGAGTCCCGGGGTGCCAGGATGAGCCCCAGGGTGCTGAGATGAGTCCTGGGTGCCAGATAAGCCCCGGGGTGCCGGGATGGGTGCCAGGATGAGCCCCAGGGTGCTGGGGTGATCCCATCAGGAGGTTCACAGCCCCCCGGGGTCTCAGCCTGGCTGAACCAGCCGAACCAGCCCGGCCTGTGCAGGAAGGTCTTGGCAGGAATGTCCTGGGCAGGGATCTCTGCACACCTGGGCAGCTCCAAATCCCTTATGTAAATGTGGCCCTGGCAGGTTTCTGGGAGGCCCCGGGAAAAGGAGGAGCTCATGTGATGCAATAGGAGAGTTGGGCCAAGAGCTGCCCTGTCCCAGCCCAGAGCGCTGGGAGCTGCTCCCGGAGGGAAATGTCCCGTGGGGAGAGTGGGAGAGAGAGCGGGACTGGGAGTGAGAACAGGATTGGGAGTGAGTACGGGATCGGGATCGGGGTTGGGACTTTGGCTGGAGGTGGCAGGGGCTGGGGTTGGAATGTGGGAATGTGTGTGTCCATTGCTGGACGTTCTCCTCACTCCTGACCTTTTGAAACTCCTGGAATTCTCTCAGTGCTGGCTCTCCCTGGGGGGGGGAGTTGTGTGGTGTCTCCCAGCTGTCCCTCACTTCCAGCCGTGTGTCCCTGGGATCCAGCCAGGACTGTCTGGGATAGTGGTGCAGGAGCAGCCCCAGGTTTCCCTGGAATCTGGGTCATCCAGCCTGGTTAATCATTGCAGGGACACTGGCACTGCCCTCACTGCACATCGTGTCCTGGGATGGGGCTTTTAAAATTAGTTGGAATAAATAAATCCCTGGCTCCAGCCTGGGACCAGGTGGGAGAGGAGATTCCAGGATGGCAGCAGGCTCTGGGGGGTGCAGCAGTGTGGGATATTTTGATTTAATTATCTCTTTATCACCTAATTAGCATTGGCTGGCTCGTTCTGCTCTGCCTGTGGGGCTTGCCAGCCCCTGCCAGAATTTCTTGCCTTTCCAGGGATTCTTACTCTTCCCATTCCCTCTCTCCCTGCAGAGGATGTCTCTGGGGAGCCCGGGGGACTCGGGGGGGTGGTCAGCACCATCTCCAGCAGCAGGAGCCCCCTGCAGCCCCCCGAGGACACCGAGGAGGAGCCCTTCACCACCTACTTCGACAGCAAGATCCCAATCCCCGAGGATGAGACGGTGAGGGAGAAAAACCCCATGGAAAAATCTGCCTCAGGCACCTGAGTCATTCCCATGGGCACCACTTCCCTTTCCAGCCTGGACTGGGAAGGGTGGTCTGGAGATGGGGATTTGGAAGAGGAGGGGATGGAGTTCTCCTGGACTAGGAAGGGGGACCTGGGGATGGAGATTTGGGAGAGAAATGGTGAGGGGTCTCCTGGATTGGGAAGGTTGACTGGGAGATGGAGATTTGGGAGGGAAGTGGGGGAGGTGTCTCCTGTGGTCTGGAGAGGGGTGAGGGCCGTGTTAATGATTCATCCCTTGGGATTTGGCTCCTGCTTGGAGCAGGGAAAGGCCTTGTCATCCCCCAGGGAGGGACCTGGGCCCTGTGTTCCCTTATCAGGGAGCAGGAGCCTTGTGACAGCCCTGTCCCCTTGTCCCATCCCAGGGCTGGGGGGGCCTCTTGCCCTTGGCTGGAGCCCCCAGCTTTGGCTGCTGGGGAGGGAGGATCCCACTTCCCCCCTGAGATTCCTTGAGCGTGGCCTTGGCTGTCCCAGAGTCTGAGCCTAAACTCCTCAGGTTGGGATCAGACATCCTAAAGCAGGGTTTGGGATGGGATTAAGGATCAGGCTGACAGGATTAATGATCAGGCAGGAGTTTGGGATGGGGTTAAGGCTCAGGCTGATAAGTTTAGGATGAGATTAAGCATCAGACTGACAGGATTTAGGATCAGGCAGGAGTTTAGGACAGGGTTAAGGCTCAGGCTGACCAGTTTGGGATGGGGTTAAGGCTCAGGCTGACCAGTTTAGGACAGGGTTAAGGCTCAGGCTGACCAGTTTAGGATGGGGTTAAGGCTCAGG